CCAAACTTTCACTCTGACTGACATTTATGTTATTACGGAATCATCCCAAACTTTCACTCTGACTGACATCTATGTTATGGAATCACTCCAAACTTTCACTCTGACTGACATCTATGTTAAGCAATCACTCTCTAGATCTATTACCTGGTACATGTTTACAACCATAATTATTCAACAGCATTAAGTAATATTTAATATTACATGTCTAAGTTTTCTTAGTTGGATTTGAAACATTTTCGTTACTGAAAATTAAACATGAAAATTAAGTATTTTTGACAGTGTCACGTGAGGACAGTTTATATATATATATCAACAATATATGCACAAAACGTTATTATTTCTTAATGAAATTGTAAATAAGAGCTCGTGAACTTTAGGTTTTTATGTTATTTGTACTGTGTGATTAAAACCGTACAGTTCTCCTTTTGTTTTATACAGTAAAGATCAGTAGTAACCTCTGAATACCAAAGAAGCATTAGGCCTAACATTTGTGATAAAAATCACGTAAACTACAAATGTGTTTATCCACATTCTTCTTCATTTAAACATTTCGGATTAAAAAATCAGAGGCGTGTAAAATGGTATTTCAGATCTATGTTTTGTCTCCTACAAGTCTTTGCCCAAGAAGCTTTTCGTACAATGCCAGAACTTGTCAAGTGGGCTAGACGATGAGAGACTAAAGGTTTTTGAATCCAAGATGGACTAGTTAAAAGAAAAGTGGGGAAAAAAACATTTACAGTTTACGTGATTTTTATCATGAATGTTAGGCTTAATGTTTTTCCAGCTCTGAATGTATAGGTTTGTATGAGCACACCTAAGCCTAAATTCAAACCGTGCTACAACTTGCTTGGAAGAATGTCAGCGTTCCTGTTTAAGAAATTTAATGTTGACAGCTTAACCGAAAACTTATGGTCTTTGTTTCTCTCTTTTCTTTTTTTTCGTTTTTTTAATTATCTACACTGAACATGAATTCTTCTGCCCTCCATCTGAGCAGCAGGCCTACCCTGATGATGTAGCAATCCAAGTAAGTGATCTGTCGTTAACACTGATTTAGGTATCAATTCAAACTTCGACCTGGCCTTTATCCAGCACTTAAGAGTAATGACGTCACGAGTTCTCACCTCTATTTTACACTTAGTGCTCGAATTGAGGGTGAACGGAGGGGAACTCGTTTGCATTGTTAGAACAAATATCTATTTCGTCCTTGTTAACAAATCATGCGAACGTGTCGTTTTATTGGTTCTCCATTGGTAAGAGGAGTTTTAGTTTGTTTTTTGTCATCGTTTTACACGAAGTAAATGTTAAATCCTAATTAGGGACTATTCATGGTATACATACATACCTGTCAAATCCTAAGTAGGGACTATTCATGGTATATATATATATATATATACCTGTCAAATCCTAATTAGGGACTATTCATGGTATATATATATATATACCTGTCAAATCCTAATTAGGGACTATTCATGGTATATATATTATATTCATGCAGTTCCCCTTGTTAAGTGGTCCCAATTCGAGCACTGGCTACCCTCCCGTATAGTACGAGAACTTCTCGAGACTTGGGAGTTTGAAAAACTTAGTTATTAATATCCACTTTGAAGATGACTCGACCAATAGCCACGTTTACCAGATGAAATTATTCTTTCTTTTTGTATCTTTGTTATTAAGAACGTTTTAACAACGTTTTTGTATTTAACAGTGACGACTAACTCTGTATAATTGAGGACGTTTTAACATTTTTTATTTTCAAGTGACTATCAACCCTGTATTATTAAGGTTGTTTTTACAGTGTTCTTGTATTTTACAGTGACGATCAACCCTGTATTATTAAGGTTGTTTTTACAGTGTTCTTGTATTTAACAGTGACGATCAACCCTGTATTATTAAGGTTGTTTTAACAGTGTTTTTGTATTTAACAGTGACGATCAACCCTGGATTATTAAGGTTGTTTTTACTGTAAAACGACCTTAATAATCCAGGGTGGATCATTACTGTTAAATACAAGAACACTGTTAAAACAACCTTAATAATCCAGGGTGGATCATCACTGTTAAATACAAGAACACAGTTAAAACGACCTTAATAATACAGGGTTGATCGTCACTGTTAAATACAAGAACACTGTAAAACGACCTTAATAATACAGGGTTGATCGTCACTGTTAAATACAAGAACACTGTAAAACGACCTTAATAATCCAGGGTTAATCATCACTGTTAAATACAAAAACACTGTGTTCTTGTATTTAACAGTGACGATCAACCCTGGATTATTAAGGTCGTTTTACAGTGTTCTTGTATTTAACAGTGATGATTAACCCTGTATTATTAAGGTCGTTTTACAGTGTTCTTGTATTTAACAATGACGATCAACCCTGTATTATTAAGGTCGTTTTACAGTGTTCTTGTATTTAACAGTGACGATCAACCCTGTATTATTAAGGTCGTTTTAACTGTGTTCTTGTATTTAACAGTGGCGATCAACCCTGGATTATTAAGGTCGTTTTACAGTGTTCTTGTATTTAACAATGACGATCAACCGTGTATTATTAAGGTAGTTTTAACTGTGTTCTTGTATTTAACAGTGACGATCAACCCTGTAGTATTAAGGTCGTTTTACAGTGTTCTTGTATTTAACAATGACGATCAACCGTGTATTATTAAGATTGTTTTTACAGTGTTCTTGTATTTAACAATGACGATCAACCATGTATTATTCAAAACGTTTTAACGACGTTGTTGTATTTGACAGTGACGATCAACCCTGTATTATTAAGGTTGTTTTTACAGTGTTCTTGTATTTAACAGTGACGATCAACCCTGTATTATTAAGGTTGTTTTTACAGTGTTCTTGTATTTAACAATGACGATCAACCATGTATTATTCAAAACGTTTTAACGACGTTTTTCTATTTGACAGTGACGATCAACCCTGGATTATTAAGGTCGTTTTACAGTGTTCTTGTATTTAACAATGATGATCAACCCTGTATTAGTAAGGTCGTTTTACAGTGTTCTTGTATTTAACAATGACGATCAACCATGTATTATTCAAAACGTTTTAACGACGTTTTTGTATATGACAGTGGCAATGAAATTCTCTGATGTAAATGAGAATTTCTTAACAGCGTTCTCGTATTGGACCGTGACTGTTATCTCTGTAGCCCTATATTTGTATTGGACCGTGACTGTTATCTCTGTAGCCCTATATTTGTATTGGACCGTGACTATCATCTCTGTAGCCCTATATTTGTA